ATCTTTTTTTAGACGGTTTTTCTTATACGTCAGAAAGCAAAAAAATGAAACGCCTGAGACCGGACGATTCGATCGATACCAAATTCATCAGATTTTAGATCTCTAATATAATGTTGATATTCAAATGCATTAATGTCTTATAATTTAATTTCAGATATAACACAATATCAGGCAGCACTTTCAAAAAGATAAAATTTATACTCTATAAAAATTGATGTAATTAAAGAATATTTTTTATAATTTATTATTTTGGTAAATTATAAATTAATAATTTTAGTAATAATAATTCTTTTAAGCTAGTGTTTACTTATCAAAATAATTTTGAATTTGAACATCAAGGATAAGGTCATTTTGAAAGAAAAGGAAACTCTCAGTTTCTCTGTTAAACTTTTGAAGAATACTCCCCTATAATCAGTGCTTCAAAACTTAAATATTATTATTTGGAGATCGTGAGGTGCGGTCTGGTGTGACATAGGTTTTAGAGAATCATTATCTTTATCATGCCAATGTTTCGACCTTTAGTGAAATCATCTTCAGAGCCTGGGATTTATAAACATTATTTATATTTTACATATAAATGTAGGCTATGAAAAAACACACACATTAAACTCCACACATTAAATATTATTACACAACAAATCATTAAAATAATAATTAAATTTTTCAAATAAAACTCTATCGTCATTTGGAGCGCCTAAGGTATTTACATAAATTACACTTGGACACTGATAATCCTTTTTTGCAAGGTGCAGTTTTCTAAATTTACTAAGTATGGGCATAGTGCTAAGAAATGTTCTCCTTTTTTTGGTTTATGACTTATAATTAAGATTCAACAACATCATCTACAATTTATAATATGTCTCGTACTTGGATTGCAATTGCATTAATTTACAGTTTTCAAAGTGACTGATATCTCCTACTTTTTGAACCATGTAATACACTCAAAGAGAAAAACCGGACACTTGTATTCATTAGCTTATGAAAAATTACTTGGAAACATAATACAAGCTATAAAGATTATTAGTTGACTTAAAATCTAAACACCACGTTAATAATTTTTTGTTTATTTTTGTAGATGTTACTGATCCTTTTATATTTTTCATTACAATTAATTAAGGTCGATGGCCATTTCATTTGTCGCCGAGAATCCACTCCGATTACACGACATTTGAAAAATGGCAAAAAGGAGGTAAAATTGAAAAGGTGGGGTTGAGATGGGATGTTAGTGTCCGAGTGAATCGAGGTCACGATAGCTCAAGCGGTAGAGCAGCGGCATATCTAGCCGAAGATCGTGGGTTCGAATCCCGCTCGTGCCATTGACTTTTTTATCTCAACTAAAACTTTAATTAATTGTAATATATTAATTGGTCAAGCGGACCACGAAATTAGTGAATTTAATATATTTTTATATTAAAAATAAAGAAAATCAATTTGATTTCGCTCATTTCAGAGCCAATTTGTGAGTGAGTTAAATAGTTTCCTTTGACAGAAGAATATATTTAAGTAAAAAGTTAATAATTATTTTATTTCTTTTAAAGCATGGTTTTAAGTCGAGAAGATCTCGCCTAGGTTGATGTCTGGGCCAACAACTGACGTAGCGTCTGTTCCAAGCACTGGATGTGTCTCTCTCTACCACCAACGATGGTCTTCATATGCTTTGAGTGTATTAATTAAAACTGATAATTGTAACTGGTAAATGATTGAACTAAAGTACTTTAAGGTTATTCTTCAGGAAGCTGTTAGGCCCATTCGCTCCATATATTGGAAACAACTTCCTGTTATGCATGATAATGCTCGACCATGAATGTAGCTAGGTTATCATCAACTTAGAAAATGTTGGGATTATCCCGATCAATTGGCCAGCGCGTTTTCCTCACATAAGTCTTATCGAACACTTTTGAACACCTGTCTTGTTGACGAATGGGAATCTGTTTCAATAGACTAAATTCGATCGTTTATTTACTCGATGACTGCTCTAGATGCTATTAAGAACAAATCTAGGTAATAAATTATTAATTAAACTTTAATCGGTCACTAAGAGACTTTCAGGTGTTTTGGAAATTTTTCTTTCAAACATCATAATTAAATCATTTTTATTAAAAGTCGTGAATTTCTGGTCTCGTTTAATTTGGTTTACATTGCAATAAGGATCTTATATTGAAACAAGTACATATAGTTGGAAATAAATAACAAAATACCAGGGTCCGGTGATTTTGTCTTTGAGTGTATCAAGGGTGTTACAAGGTTAGATATCATTACTGCCATGGAGGATTAACTAAATAAAACTTAGTTCAGTGCCAACAGAACGAGGTTTCTATCTTGAATCCTTCCTGAGCAATTAACTAACAATTTGGTAATTTTAGTCTAAAATCAGATTTTTTCACATAAAATCGTAATTTCCCAACTTTTGCGTTATTAAAATACAAATCTGATCTTTATTGCGCCAACTTTAGTTAAATAAACAATAAACTTTCTACAACATAAGAACATTTCCGTTGAAAAATAAGCGCTTCCGAAAAAACAGTCGCCGCTCAAAAATAACAAATGGCAAAACCGATCTTTTTTTTTAAATACTCAATTGTGGCTTGGAACGACTTTTCCGTCACAGTTTTCGGGCATTTAACCAAAGTTGCTTTATTTTATAAGTATTCCAAGGACATACGCACGTTTACCTTGTTTAGAACTTTTCTTAGTGAAATCTTTGCGAGGTTGAAAAACGTGATATCTGGCCCAAGAAGAACATCAACCCAAGAAAATCGTACATGTGATATTTTTAATGAAAACATTAGTTAGTAATAAAAATCAGATCAATTTCTTCGTTATTTCCCTCATGTCATTGCACGTGATTTCAATTTTCTTCAAGGGCTTTTCCCTCGTTTCGATGGGCGTGCTGTTTACTGCACCTTTCAGAGCAGCCCCGTTAGTAAAAATCTAATGGGGCCAAATCAGGACTCCTCGCTTGCCATGTCACGAGAGGACTATATCTAATCTTTGTTACCATCTAATAAATGATTTTTAAATGTATATGTTTATGTTGATTGATTGTGACATTATGTTAATTTATTGGAATGAATGTAAGTTATTAGATTCACTAGCTTTAGTAGTCCGCTTGACCAATTAATATTTCTCAATTAATTAAGTTGAGAGAAAGAAAAGTCAGTGTCACGAGCGGGATTCGAACCCAAGACCTTCGGTTAGATACGCCGCTACACTACCACTTGAGCTATCGTGACTTCAATCCGCTCAGACACTAACTTCCCACCTCAATCCCACCTTTTGAATTTTCCCTCCTTTTTGCCATTTTTGTAATGTCGTGTAATCTATTTGATTATCGGTGATCTATTTTTATCTCAACCAAAACCTTAATTAATTAAAATAAATAAAATAAAAAGAATTTATTTGGTCAAGCGGACCACGATACCTAGTCAAATGTAATAAGTAAAATGAAGTATACTTCACTAAAGCTCTCCGTGGCCATTTCATTTGTCGCCGAGAATCATATACATGGATCGAAGTCACGATAGCTCAAGTGGTAGAATAACGGCGTATCTAGTCGAAGGTCGTGGGTTCGAATCCCGCTCATGACACTGACTTTTCTTTCTCTCAACTTAATTAATTGAGTGCAATCTGTTTATCTCTTAACATGAAAGCTATATATACACATTTTTTCAAATTGATGTTCAAAATATAATCGTTCATAATCATGTAACATTAGCGATTTTATAGATAAAACTAGAAATATGAGGCCAATTTTTCATTAGATAAGGTCGCGAGTAACCCCTTGAAGTTACGCATTATCAAGTTACTATTGTAGATTCATGCTAACTGATCACATCAATGTGTACTTGGTTAAAATCTGCATGTGAACGCTAAAATTAATAGACTCAAATTTGTAGACAAATTAATTAAAGTTTTTTGTTGAGATAAAAAGTCAGTGTCACGAGAGGGATTCGAACCCACGATCTTCGTCTAGATACGCCGCTACCTTGCCTCCTGAACTATCCTGTCCACGATACCACATTCCAACGACATTGTCCAGTGGAAGAGTCGTTTTTTATGTTTACACAAAATCATCCCAAAGATGTCTCAGTTAACCACGTGTTATTTTAATATTTATCTTTCGTTGTTTCAGTTTAATAATGTACTCGATTGTACTGTAGAAGTCATTTGACGGTGGTAATTAACTTGGAGGCGTTGTAATGTGTTCGTTCCATGAACAGAATTCTCAAAGTCCATTATCCAGTCGGTCTACAGTTTTTCGAATTGTTTTGAGTTTTCAAAAATCGGGAAATGTTCAACATGCCGCATTTTTGCCCGTTGGGTGCGTAGACAAAGAAGGGAAGTATTGTATTGCAGTTTAAAACTTTAATTTTATATTGAAAACAGCTATAAAAAGTAATACAATAAAATTTGTACTTCAATAAGGCATTTCATTAACGTTATCACTAACTACCTCGATGAGCGGGCTGAACGTAGGGTGTTAGAACCTGGGTTTCGCCGTCGTACCCGTCGCTTAAGTTAATCCCAAATCTATTCGATTGGGTTCAAATCAGGACTTGACCTCATTAAGAATCTCTCACCGATCTAGTGGGCAAATGGCGCTACATTTTTTACGATTATGTCTCGTAAGTACATTTGTGAAGTTAGAGATCTTCCTCGCGCAACAAACAATTCGGTTCGAGGGTCAAAGAAAATTCCACCCCCAGAACAACATTGACCCACCGCGGAATGCCACCTGAGCAACCATACAGCATGGGGCGTACCTTTCTCCTGAGCGTTTCCATATGAAATTACGCCCATCGGTCATAACAGTGAGCGATGGCTGAAACGCCTTCACTGTTGGTAGCCCCATTTAAAATTAGAATACTTTGATGGTAGTGGAAGTGAAATGGATTAATAATCAGTGCATAACGGTAAAATTTAAAATTTTATTTTCTTTCATATTTTATTATTTATTTTTATTTCAGATTTAATTTTATTTCAATTTGTTTGTAAAATAATCACTGATCCCGGTTTTTCTTAAGTGGGGCGAAAGCTACGGCGGCCTTGTCGACATTGAAGATGGAGTAGAATTTTCCGAAGAAGGTATCACCGAAAATCCAAGGGCTAGATTCATCGGTATTTTGTCCTGAGAAGCCTGCCAGGCACACAGTAGAATTCTTGATTGTATACTGTAAATACAGGTTAAAATATTTTATATTATTTTAAATTAAAATGTTAAAAAATAAATGGCGAAAGGTTGAACTTGCATGTGAAATGTAATCCCTGGGATTGAGAGTGTACGGTTTGTTCATGATATGGAATGTTACTTTTGGATAGCCATCAATTTTCTCGCAGTCCACCTGAATAATAGAATGTTGCCTTATTATTCAGTCAAATTTTAATGTTGAGTGATGGTTAAAATGTTACCGATCCAAGGTCGTCGTTTATTCCTAATAAATTAAGGAGCTTTTTAATGTAACTCTCCGGCCCAACAATCAAGGAGGTGCCCGTATCGGCTATAGCATTAAACTTCCTTAGCCCAACGTCGGCCTGTCTGTGTTTTACATTACCCATGTCAACAGTTATTCTTAAAAACAAAACACGCGTTAAGATCGTTATCGTTCTACGTATTATTTATTTGTGTTTGAAAGCATACTTGTCAACCGAAAATTGCCAAAAGTGTTTATCGTTTACAGGTATGTATTCGATATCAACAGGATCGAACATCTCATCGTTCCAGCCTCCGAGAACCAATTCTCCGCCGTTCGTATCATCCTTGTCACTTTGGAAAAAACGAGATGAGTATATTGAAAAATAAAACTTTTTTTCATAATATTTACCGATTTATGTAGAAGGAAAATACGTTTTCATGCAGTAGATTTTGTGCCATCATCACATAAAAAGGTGGGAGGAGCTCTTTCGTAGCACCGCTTGGGAAACTCATGCCGAAAATACCGTCATATTCTGTATTGGCGAAGCCTTCGCCTGGCAAATCTGTCGCCTCGACAAACGATACGTTCTTCACCGTAATATCGCTTATCTTAAAATTTAATCAATAAAAATCAATTTAATAACGTTTTTTTTATAAGAATGGCAAACAAATTAAAATTGCGGTATTTAATAAATGATACTATTGACTTTTTCAGATGTATACAAAGACAGTACCGTTAGAGTATCAGTGGATAGAACTCCTTTCATTATACCCTGGTAATAATCTAATATTTATTTTGTTGTTGTTTTAAAAGTTTTGACAAATGTAGAAACCTAAACACTAAAATTATAAACAACAGTACAGCATAGTATTATGCAACAGATTTATATGTAATTATTTTTTGTGTAATTGCAGTCTAGTTTTGAAGAACTATGTACAGAAAGTAGGAGTGTGTGGTGATTAGTGACCGTTAATCGATAATTATTCAGAAATCGTGAGATGCGGTCGGGTGTGATGTAGGTTTCAGAAAAACATTTTCTTTATCGTGCCNATCTCAATACAGATCGAAACGTTGGCACGATAAAGAAAATGTTTTTCTGAAACCTACATCACACCAGACCGCATCTCACGATTTCTGAATAAATAAAGTAGGTGGTTTATGGACCGACAAACACCTGAGGTCATCGCCGGCCCTCTGTGAATTTTCCTGCTTTTCTGGCCTTTCATCAAGCGTATTTCGTTTTTGACTGCAGCCATTCGAACGTCTCGATCAGGTTTAGGTTGAGGACTGACTCTGCTTTTAAATTCATTCTACGTCGATATCCTAAAATGCTAGCTACGTTTGTACTTCAGGTTGTCAAATACAGAAAAAATCGACATATATATTACATATTCACTCCCCCAGAGTACTCGACATTCCTCGGGGAGGGGTTGAATCCAATCCATTCTCGCTACTAACTTACTTTTACTCTTCAGACGCCAACTCACCCCACATAAAATCACATAAATTATGTATCATTATGCTTACTTTATATTACATAAATTATATATTATTATACGTCACACACACATGCCGCATAAATTATTTAACTCGCAAATTAATAAATAAATGTATTCATAAATAATGAGATAAATAAATGTACATGCAATAAGTTAGTAACAATTTTCAGTAATATGAATGTATAAATATTTAACAATAGAAACATGAAGTGTTAACCAGAATTAAGGAAGTCGAAATTATAACATCGGAAAAAGGCCGTTAATAAATGGTGTATAGCCTGCTAAGGCAAGACAGGTGGTGTCACCTTTCTTTGTTAAATTAATTTCCTTTGCCATTCGAGTTTTTTGGGCTATCTTTTTAATAAAGTCTGAAAATAATTTATACTCTACTGGGCGTACGATTATTTCTTTGAGATTGTTCTCCGTAATAATCTTGCGTAAGTTTTCTTCCAGGCAGTATCTTATATACGCGTAGATTGCACAGTGAAGAGCATCGTGCATTGCGTCACCTGGTAAACAGCATAGGCAAAGTGGTTAGTCTACACATTTGAATTTGTGTAATTTGGCGGGGAAATTGCCGTGCCCTGTTAAATATTAGGAAATTACATAGTCCGGCGTTATAAGTTTCATCTTCCATTTGACGATTACGTCAGGAAAGTAAATCTTTGTGATGGCTCCCTTCTTGATGTCGTCCACCTATTTTGCCATGTCTGCAAGCATTCTTCCACTTTGCTATTTATTATTTCTTTTTCATTTTCCGTTCCGTTTGTATTGTATTTTACAACCGCAATCTCTAATTCCAGATCTATTGGCAACTGCCCAGATCACTTGGAGTGCTGCTGTTGAGACTGTACGATAGCTCTTTGTTGTTAGCAGTAGAGCTTTCGTTTGGGCTTGTTCCAAGGGTTTTAAGCCCGCTTTCTTCATTAGTGGTTGCAAGCCGGGGAATGCGTTTCGGAGTATGCCTAGACAGATGTTTTTATACATAAATACATAGCCGTGATAGTCATATCTCCACGTTGCTTTAATGATCCATCTTAATTTGTCGTACGTCCTTAAGATTTTTGCTTTTATATGAACCAAGTGGTGATTAATAATTAAGTTCTTACCTAGGGTTACTCTAGATATTTCACCTTATCGACCACTGCTATGACGACTCCATTGTGAATAAAAGAGAGATTTCCTATGTTTCTTCTTTTTATCAGCAGGGCGTGGGTGTTGCCTATTGCAATTTAAGTTTTTGTTGTTTACACCAATTTTCAATGACGCCAATAGCTCGCTGTCCTGCGGTTTGTACTTTCGTTACGTCATTGCCTTCCGCTAAAATTGTTAGATCGTCGACGTAATCCACTCTTCTCACACCCTCTGTCCTAAGATCTCGTTGAAAGTCTTTGAAACTATACTCCATAACAGAGGGCCTAGTATGGAACCGTGTGGACATCCTTGCTTGGACGGTGAGTGTCAATGGTTTGGTCATTTATTTACACATCTGTCATGTAGGTAATTCCTCACAAGTAGGATGACGTCGGCTCCCACACAATGGTTTGATATACAGTACACTACACCTGGCTACCAGGGAGAGTCAAACGCAGCGCTGATGTCGATAAATATTGCAACGACTTTCTTAAGGCGGCTCTCATTTACATCAGCGCGCAATTTTAAAATGGCATCTCGTTGACCAACCATTTACATAGTCAAATTGTCTTTCTGACATTTTTTTGACGTCTTTGATCCTATTTGCCATGATGTGTTCCAAGCATTTACTCATAGCACTGAGCAAACAGATAGGTCTTCGGGCCTTGGCTGAGTGCGGGTCAGATGTTCCTTCTTTTGGTAGCAAGAGTAGCCTGACCTTCTTCCAAGCAGTAGGAAAATATCCCAGTCCCAAACAATCCTCAAAAACGGTACGGAGGTAAGGTGCAAGAAGGGATGCACTTTTTGTTGCTTCGTTCCGGTCCAAGACGTGGGCCTTTATTCACGTGCTGTTTACGAATACAAGCTATCACTTCCTCATCTGTTGGAGTCCCGCATTCTGATGTCATTGATATTTCAGTTACTCATTTTCAGATGGCCTGGAGTAAATCAGCTTCTTCTGTGACGTGTTCTTGAGGGAATATGTCGCTTAGTTGTCGGATATAAGACTATTTTATGCTGCAGGCGATGTTATTACCTTTTTTAAATATGGCGGAAGCTTCTATTTTATGAGACTTTTGACGGGTCTATACGGTAGGCACCAACTTCCCTCCAGGAGGTTTCGCCACCCTTGCTTTTGGGCTATTTAAATTGTATTATGTTACCTCCTCTTTTTCGCCCTGAATGATGCTCGGAGCGTTTCCCTGATGATAACATTTCTTTCCCAGAGCATTTTTCTTCTAGCCGCGGCCGTTTCCTTCTTCAATTTTAACAACGTTTTATCCAAGTCGGTTGTTAAGGCCGAGATTTTATTATCGATTTATTCCCTAGTCGTGACTGGCCAGAAGAAATTTACGGGGTTGCGGCGCAATTGATCGGCTTTAGCTTCACACCTTTCCTCTAAATTTACCCTCTTCGTTACGAACCGCTTCAGTTTATTAACGTTAGTCGCTATCAACTTTAGGTTTGATCCCTTTGTTTGAAGCGGGGCTAGGTCTATGCATATTAGGGCATGGTCACTATTAGTCGCTGCGGCATCGATTATCATTGAAGACCTATGCTATGTATTGGTCGATGCGGCAATCACACCGATGTGCGATGTGCCTCTAGCTCCGATAAGAGTATGGGGGGGGGACTCATTTTTATTGAATATTTTCAACCCTAATCTAGATGTCATTCCTACTATAAATCCACCTTCATTGTCGTCATAGGGTGATCCCCAGGTCTTGCTGTGTCCATTCGTGTTCATCGTGAGGATAACATGATTTGATTTCGTAAGGAGGACTGTTTTAGCAATTTAAGCTTCGATAGCAGCGGCTAGTCACTGGCTTCTTCCTGCCTTTTGCTGGGGAAAGTAAGCAGTTATCATAAGGACCTCTTTATCATCCCAACCGGTAAGAGCTGCCGCTTCAGCCCCCTGGCTCTCTAGCGCTAAGACTACGTAGTCGTGCAAGGGGCAGTTTTTGTCACCCGTCCTGTGGGTGTCACTTTTAAATTTCCTTTCGCAGCAGCTAAAGCACTTTAAAGTACGAGACGACGGGCATTGAGTGATGTCATGTATTTCTGTGGAATATTTACACCTATGTGTGTTTGTACAAAATCTTGCAATGCGTCCTTACCTTAAACAATTGAAGCAGAGATTTATTTCTATGTGGTTATTATTGTTCTGAGGAAAAGTCTTTTGCTGTTCTGAATCGTACTTCGTGTACTTCGATTAGCCAGTTAGGAGACCGCCCTCTTTTGATTTTGCATTTTGGTATAATTTTTTCGGGCGCCCATATATCATTATTTTGTTCAATTAATTCATTAACAATTTCTTCTTTGATATAGTCATCTAGTACGTCATGCAAGACAAAACTAGGGTTGCGCTTTGCTATCTCTTCGACGATCAATTTGAAGTTTTTTATTTGAATACATTCTTTGATGCTAGTTTTTTGTAGTTCATCCTCTACTAAAATAGCAACTCCGTTATTTCTGGTTGTTCTCATGTTTCATACTTGGTATACAAACTGTAAATGAGTAAATGTAACCACGACGACCTTCCTGAACGCGGTCCCATGGCGCTGGTCCGTCAATGGTGCCGTAAAATCACCCCTCCCCTAGGGAGATTACCCCGTAATGCGGCGGAGGCTTCCTGATGTATGGGGAACCGTGGTGATACAGGTACGAATGGAAGTTGTTCCCATTAAGGTATTACTTCTTCGGCGGTTCACTATCCATGTGAAGGAGTAATCTGTGCCATGAGATTCTCAGGTGAGGATAATTACGATTTAAAACCTTGTAATCTCGGCGATACGATATTAGGTAAGGCTCTAGTAGCTTTCCACCCACTCAAGAAAAAAATGTTTAAATATAACTTTATAATTTAAAAAAAGTTGTTATTGTATATTAAATGAAAATATGAAAATATTGTTTATTGTAATGCTTTAATTGTTTTACATATGTAAATAAAAAAAGTTCTATAATTTGAATTCAACATCCAGCGAATTAAAATTTAGAAGGAAGAGTAACAATAGATCTTAGTTGCATGATTGTGAGAAAATATAATACATGCCGTGTTTGGCTGTATGGTTTTTCTTTAAAGAAAAACCAAACTCATATAATTTTCAATTTTTCGCATTTTCGAAGCATCAAGAGCTTCCTCTTTCTAAATATTTTTAGTCCAGAAATGAATTGAAGTACTCCTTTCTAAAATGCCGGCAACCCGAGGCTTCATTATAACCTCATAGTTGAAATACCCTCGTATCCTGTCAATAACATTTTTGAGAAGGAAGGTCCTTTATGCCTTCGAAGGTATATTAATTGACATTTAATGAGCCTGGTTGTTTTACTTGAAACTAAAACAGTACGAATAGCATGCCTGAACAAATATTAACAAATTTTGAGGCAAAATAATTTAGTAATTATAAATAATGTCAACCTGATAGTAATAACAGTAACGATTACTTTGATTTATATCACTGTTGTATAAACATGGCATGAATGAATAAATAAGCTAATTATTGTAAATTATACTTCAAATTCAGCCACGTTAAGAACCCCAAAATATTTAATATTAATAATAATTATGATGGTTTGCGCAGGTAAACTTGTGAGTGATTAAAAAAAGCAGAAATTGAAGAATTTATTAATTTTTTTAAAACCACTTACTTGCATTCGTTTTAATAAACTTGATTAAAAATCGATTAGAAATAACATACTGAAAGGTAAATGATAGTTTATCTTCAAACAGCACTTCAACGACCTATAAATGTTCTGATTTTGCCAACATGGATGATATTCCGCAATAGAAATGGGTCCACAAATCCTCATAGTTCTGGCCGTTTTCTTCTCCTGTAGTGAAGCTTTTGTAAGGTAATTAACGTTTATACAGTGTTTAAAAAAGCGTTATAATTGGTGATAAACTTAGTTTCATTTTCCCGTGGTTTTGGTACAAAGGATTGTACCACCATGGTGCTCATCCACAGAAGGATTAACGGTAGACTGTGGTCGGCCATTCTTCTGAAAATCTAGTACATCCGGTGTTAAATGTGTTTTGTGTGCTATTATGATCGTATGAATATAAGTGAAAAGATTTGTATTTGATTTTTTCAAAGGTTATTTGAAGCTTATGATTGCCAAAGATAAGTAAATAGGCAAAATTACTAGATTATATGTTTAAAAGTGCCTTGTTGGATATTTTTGAACCTACAATATCTTTCACGTCTGACTCGTTTCATATATTTGATTATAATGTGAACACTTTCATTAAAACAACCTAGCACGTGGTATAAGTAAACCAAGGACTAATTTTAAAAGCGTTTTAGAAATACGACACTGCAACAAACTCAGCTCACGCCCAACGTTCAGTGTGGTATCATTTCCTACGTACACAGTTGAGTCGGAAATATTCTGAACTAGACAAATAGCATGTTTGAGTGGATTAGGGACCGTGTAACGTTCTCGTCTATATCGTCGATTTACTATATCTATATGGTTGATTTACTACCCTCTGACAGTTAATAACTCCGTTTTTCAGGGCAACATTCAATCATCACAATCGAAAACCCTTCCTGGCAAACTTAATCAACTACCAATCTAGTTTTCCTTACTGCAAAACTTTTGTAATGTTAAACAAACATTTCGTGTTGAAAAGGACATTTGTTACATTCTCTATTGACACACAACAATTAATGACACTAATACATTACTGTAGAAAATGTGATTACAAATAAACTTAATTAACCTGGAGATAAATAGGAAAGGTAACATATAAAATCAGGCTGATGTTTATTGTTTTGTTAGTTCTAAAAGTAGGGTTACGTTAAGAACGTCAATTGGTTTTTCAGCCAAATTTCATTTTTTTAGTTAATTCTTTCTATTCAAATGCAAATGTTTTAAGAAATTAATTTTTATCAAACACATTATAAATTGTTTTATATGCTATAAAATCTCGAACAAAATACTAAAACAGCCAAAACTGTACCCGCAGGAAACGTGTTGTGGGAAATCAATGCGTTAAAGGCGAGGCGGACTCGGCGGGGAAATAATGAAGTGAATCTTGAGGAAGCGGGAACGGGTCAATTCCTTGGCAAAAGATTAAGGTCATTGTGGATAGTGAGGTTGGATACATAGTAAGAAGGTTGGATAATTCTGCTTTGGACTTTTGAATGGAATATTTGGATTTGTTGGATGTTAGATGGTTTGGAGGATTCTAGGTCTCCATCCGTATGTCCAATAAGGCGAGGTTATGTTTTATAAAGCGTTAATTTGTCCTTTACCGCCATGTCTGATTTCTGTCTTACACGTCTTAGAACTTGTCCAATCGTCTATTTAATTTTTATAGTTTGAATCCTGTGTGAGGATTCCAGGTCAGTCTACAGTCAAAACATAGCTTTTAACATTTTAATTTTGTATATTGTTTGTTTGTTTAAGGTTCATATGTTCTTGTTCAGTTTCAATTTCTACATTTTACATTATACTTTAATGAGCTCAAGATGCTCCTGGAGATGGCTTGTCTAAGATTGAAGGTAGGAGATAAATTGTAATATCCGGTAGATGGTGTTAGGATGTATCGGCCAGCAGTATGAACGGACCTAGAATGCTCCCTTGTGGGAAGCTGGCCTGGATTGGTATTTTCTCATAGAACTCATTGCCGCGCCTGCCTCCGGAACAACTATCTTCTAATTTTTATATAGGAATTTAAGGTTAGGTAATAAGGGGTGGGTAGGAACTTCTTTAGATAAAAGAACTCCCTATGCCATGCCCTGTCAAAAGCTTGGGGCATTTGTAAAAATAACGACGAGGACGGAAATTGGCGTGAATGACATTATATAAATCTAGGATGAATAGTAGTCGTTTTAAAAGTTTTTTTTATATTTTGGACATTACTGGGAGAAAGCTGACAGGTAAGGGGAGATCTGGCTGGGAGGTTTGTGGGGATTTTGTTATGAGAGCGATTATGGAATATAATGTTGAATATAATACTAGGGGATGTGAGAGGTTCGTAGGAGTGAATCATAAATAATAGTTTAAAAAAAACAACTATTGCCTCCTGGAGTATATGCGAGTTTATGAGAGTATATGCAAGATCGTGTCCTGAGGATCTTTTTATTTGGAGAATTATGAATGTAGGACTTTACTTCAGATGGCTTGAAATGTTTAATAGGGTGATAAGAAACAAGTGGGATAAAATTTAATTAATCAAATTTTTAATATATATGCATTTTGCATTTAGTGTTCCTTTAGTGAGACTACATCGACCAGAGGATAGATCTAGGGCTCACATCCAAAAACTATATAAGCAGAATGTACTGCTTAGAAGACCTGGCGTAATGAAAGAACCACTACGGAATTTTATGAATGTGATTTATTTGTATATAGTTTATGTGAAATGTACAGTAGTTATAAATGACTTATCATACGCAGGTAGAATATTTCGGTAAAGTCTCACTGGGAACGCCTAAGCAGGATTTTCTTGTTTTATTCGACACCGGCTCATCCAATTTTTGGATTCCATCATCAGTGTTATCAACAAAAGGTAAAACGGAGTTGTTAATATTTCTTTTTGTTTTTTTAAAATAACACGTAACGAATGTCCAGGGCAAAAGCAACATAACTTGTATCGTAACGAAAATTCCTCAACCTACAAACGTAATGGCACACTGCTTCAAATATGGTACGGTTCTGGAGTAATGAGAGGACTGATTTCTACTGACACATTGACCGTATGTTATAAATGATAAATTAAATTTTGATATAATAATAATTGTGAGAAGACTGCGATTAAACAGAGTAAATGTTTTGAATTCAGATTGGCCAACTATCAGTTGAAAACGTGACTTTTGCAGAAGCCATCAGTGTCCTTGGCACTGCGTATGCTCAAGCGCGTTTTGATGGAATTTTAGGTTTGGGTTTCCCGACCATCGCAGAGAATGGAATTCGCCCTCCATTGTACATGATGATGGACCAAGGACTACTGCATGAAAAAGTTTTCTCTTTCTATATTAATCGGTAGTTCATGTGTCTTTTTCTGTTATATTCTGAAATTTAAAGGCTTCTTTTATACAGCGACGAAAATGATGGGAACGGAGGAGAATTGGTTCTCGGTGGCTGGAATGATGACATGGTCGATCCCGCTGATATTGATTACATTCCTCTTAATGAGAAGAGCTACTGGCAGTTTACCGTGGACAAGTAACTCGTACAGGTTTCGATATTCTTCCTCTATTTCATACGTAAAATATATTTTACAGGATCACAGTGGACCATGTTGGAAAAAGTAGCTCGCAAATCGATGTAGGGCCAAAAGATTTTAATGCCATCGCTGATACAGGTTCTTCAGATATATTTGGACCATCGCAAACCATTGGGAGGATTTTACATTTAATTGGCGCTAAAATCGTTAATGGAGAAGGAATTGTAATATTTCCCCTATGGCATTATAATAATTATAATTTAATGAATGTCAATGTTTGAACATTAGGTGGACTGCGATAAAATCGATACTTATCCGAATGTTACATTCCACATCAAGGGAAAACCGTACACCCTAAATCCCAGGGATTACATCACATCTGTGAGTTGTAACGATTTGAACTTTTTATTTGACGGATTTTAACCTTTACAGTATGGTTATTGATGTTCTTTTCAATCTGATTCGCAGTACGTGGTCAAAAACAAGAAAGAATGCGCTGCAGGATTCTCAGGACCTGAGAATGAAGAGACATCCCCATGGATCCTCGGTGATTCATTCTTGGGGAAATTTTATTCTATATTCAACGTCGACAAGACCGCTATAGCATTTGCTCCACTCAAGAAAAAATCGAAACATTAAATATACAAAAAGTTATTACTACGCATTATGTATTATCATCATGCTGGGGGACCGCGGTAGCCGAGTGGTTAGCATGAGAGACTCTCACGCCGCGGTCGTGGGTTCGATTCCCACCGTCGCCTCTGGCCCTTTTTTCAGAATAACCCCCCAAATTTGAACACACATATATGAATTGTCACATGGCTAATATGCATAGTTCATAACGCCAAAAAAAAAAAAAAAAGAAAAAATCATCATGTTTGTAATTATTGCAGCTAGTCATTATTTATTATTGAAAATTCTGTTTAATATTCAGTTTTATGGAAACTAAAGCCATTTATAATAAATAAATTGATCAATTACGGAATAGTACAATCTCAAATTTTTACAAGCATGTACATAGTTAACCCTATCACCTTTCTCAGACAACCGACAATGTTAGATTTGGTAATTTAAAATAATTACCTGCAAACCGAGAGAATCACCTTGGGTTTTCCAGTCGGTTGTCAGCCTCGCTCAGTCCAGCCACCGAGGTTGGGCTCTGGGGGCTACCAATTGCTCGGTAATTTCAAACTCCAACGCAATCGTTTACTAAATTCAAATCCATTTATTCATAATAAATTCTTTCATATTTACAAATCATTCACTCAATTTTTGGTGGAGTACTCGATTTTTGTCCATTACACTTTACACCTATTATACAATGCGACTGCCGATAAGTGTTGAAAATTTCAGGACGTTTTTCTACTCACCATATGCAACAAAAAGACTTCCTATAAACCCTCGTCCAAATCTCAACGATAAAGGAGTAATTTCAAGGTTTGAGTTTTCGAAACTCAAGAGTCAGACGGTTTTCCTGGAAAAATTGAGCGTGTGCTTTCATCAACGCCAGTTTTTTTTTTCAACAAAATATTTGGGCCTTCCAGAAGCGCATTCCAAAAAGGTGGGTATGCCACTGGAAGCTGATTGAACGGAGAACTTTTGAGGGAATTTGCAAAGCTCCAGGGTTTGTAGTTATTAACAGTCACCAATTCAACATTTTCAAAAAATTCTAAATTTTTTGTTTTTCTGAACTTTTTGTGCAGAATTTTTTCATCAATTCTTACAGAAAATTTAAATTCTTTCAGGTAACACAAACTAGATTTTTCTAGTCAGTAATTTTTAAGTTTATAAGCAATTTAGTTGACCTAATTCAAAAAATTAAAAAACCCAAAACCTGAAATTACTTCTTTACCGTTGAGATTTGGATAAGAGTTTATAGGTAGTTTTTTGTTGCACGTGATGAGTAGAAACACCTCTTGAAATTTTCGACACTTATCGCCAGTCACCCTGTATAAATAACCTAATTGAGGTCGGGGGAATATGATCCTTCTTCTACGAGTCAGATCTTCCGAGGCCACCTATCGACAGTGTTCCTGATGCGTGAGAGTTTCCCCACCAACGCTGCTTGTTTGCTTTTAATCAAATATTTTATTGCACTTTTTGCGTTATAAGGCATGGTATTTCTCTAGAAAGAGCACCATGGGAGGGTCAATGGAGAACATGTAACCGACAGGAGTAACCGCGCTGAGGGTCGTGCAGACTAGGTAAGCAGGCACCGTGGTATCGAATCAGCTCAATCGTATAAAATCCGATATATAAACGTGTGATGGGAGAGGCCATGATGTAAACGCTCACGCGCAACAATCGGCACACGCCATACCCTCGCCGGTCTTATTGCATGTCCCGTCGGTGCAGACGAGTCCAAAACCGGCGTACCTCGAAAGTTCCAAGCATTTCGCTCGGTAAAGGTATGGCGGAGTAGTCAATTGGAGAGATCGTCCCAACGAAGGCGGGGTCAGCCCGGTTGCCTAGCTCGAGTACCGTTCCTAGTGTCTTACCTGTCCTCTTTCTCTGAAGTGTATTCTTAGAAGCGCGTTATAGACTGAAGTCGCTCGTGTAGTCTACTTACTGGCATCTGAGGATCGCACCTAAAAGCAGATCCAGGTTTTACCAGGAACTCTGCGGCATAGCTGAGGGTAAGCTGTTCCTCCGAATTTCGGACAGAAGCACTTCCTGCTCGCAGCACGGTTTAACCAAACGACTTTTCCTAAACGCGCCGGAGAGCGCTCGAACTCTCTAGTCTACTAGGAGCGCCTATCCGGCTTCTCAGGTGCATTTTTCAAAATTATCAATCATGAAAAATTGAAACACTTAGTAATAGAAACACATAGCTATTAAATACAAGGACATTATTATATTGAATTTAGAAATATTTTGGTTAAAACCTTTTGCCCGTTTTTTTTATTTTTTTTATAATTGTTGAAATAAATTTTTTTATAATAAAATATATAATTAAGTAAAATTGAATTAATATAACAAAAAAATTCTTCAGTCACATCCAAACCAGCAAGGGTAGAAGGACTAAGTCGTTCAAAAGGTGTTCACGGACTCGCAGACCAACGAACTGTTACCTGCGTTACCTTGATAATTATATGGACCTACAATTTGATAAAATTCACGGAATAAGTAAAAATATGGAGGTGTTGATAAACAGCAAATATTATTGTAACATTTTTATTGTAAAATAATCACATCGTTATTAAATAAATAACTGTGTTGATAATTAAACAATTAGTGTTAGGAAATAACAGATCAGTCGAAACTTTTAGCAATTGTTAAAAGATAATTACTCTCAAGTTCATTTTAAAAGGCCCATGCTTATCTTGTTTGTTCAATAAACTGATTGTTGTAATATTACATTTACGTCTTTCAAAAGAGTTCATATAAAAAACCGAAAAAAGAAGATTTTAATATAAAAATATGTTCTTAATTTTTTAACATTTTTTCAATACATTTTATAATTTAAGTAATTATTCCAAAATAATTGTTCCCTGGTCTGCTCAGTTGAGGATATTCAGCGGAGTTTATGCCCGTGAGATGTGGGCTTGTAGGTCGTACAATGAAGTGGAAATTATTATTATTAATTTTATTTTGTTAAAAAATCATCTTCCTCTCGAATCTATCGCCAAATTATGTTTTCCCTAGAGGCCAACCCCGATCCCCAATATATGTTTACGCTAGAGCTGCGCACGAAATATAAATACGCACCAGTCAATTTATTTAGTTTAAAATTAAATACATTACTTTCTATATTAGTTACAGGTAATTACGATGTACCGTAGACAAAATAAAAAGTTAATAATGCTTTGTTTACTTTCTTAGTTTACTTTTGTACTCATTAATCTCATTTGCACCACAAAAAGTAGCATTATGCCCATCCATTCTGCTACGCCTAAAGATCGTTTTCAGTAAATACTGTTCCTTCGTTGACTTCATTTGGTATTATTCTTAATCTTAAATCTTTTTCAATCGGCCCAGTCAGGTCATAACATTATTAGAGAAAGGATACAGCCAGCGCGAAGTCCTCAGGAGACAGAGTGTAAATCACTCTAAAATAGGAAGGGTTCTGCGACCCTCCAAAGAAACAGGGCTTCATACTAGAAGGATAGGACAGCAGCCTAGGTCTACAGACAAAAGGGACGATAGATATGTATTTCATCGGGCTCCACACATAGTCAGCATTAGGGGAAATGAGATAAGAAATGTGATAAGACAAGTCCAAAATATTTCGATTTTCTCCAGGATGGTGAGAAGAAGCTTCAATGAAAATAACTTCAGGGCACCCGGCTTGTCGCCCTGTTTTTACCACAGGTCAGAAAATGGCCAGGCTTCAATTCACACGGGAACATTTAAATTGGGCATTGGAAGATAAGGAACGAGTTCTCTTTATAGATGTGGTGAGAGTTGGCCTTAAATCATTACATGGCCATAATTTTATATGGAGACGCTCAGGAGAAGGGTACACCCCTGCTGCTTGGTTCCTTAGGTGGCATTCCACGCTGAGTCATTTATGTACTGGGGTGGCATTTCCTTGGACTCCCGCATTGAATTGGTTGTTTTACTAGGAAGATCCCAAACTTCACAGGGGTATTTACAAGACATTCGACATCCAAGGCATAAAGTGCCATTTGCCCCCCTCCCCCACATGGTGAGAAGCAGAATACTAATGCAGGATAATGCCAGGCCCCGTCGTGCACGTTTGGCGAATGACAACCTGATGATGTTTGAATTGAGTACTTGGTGTGACCAGAAGATTTGCACATATTTGGGATCCAGGTCCTACCACCCTAGGAGAGTTGGAAAGGCTATTCTTGATGAATGGGAAAGAATTCCTCAATATTTTATCAGAAATCTGTTCAAAGGAATGCAAAGGCGTTTAACGGAAGTGATTCGTGCCAAAGATGAAAATGGTCGGTATTAAAAAGAACAATAATCATTTTTTAAATTTTTATTGGTTATTGAATTTTGTTATTTTTCATTACTTATTTCTTTTAAGAATTAGAATCATTTTCTTTTTAAATGTTTTAATTTTACAATCTAACCTAATTTTGTATGCAAAATATCAATTGGTAAGTACATTAAATTTAGGGGTGGTGCGTTAATATTCAACAGGATAAAAGGGGGTGCATGAGTAGAGCATTGAAATTCCAAGGCCAGGGATCTGGGATGTGGTTTCTCTTTCTCACGGGAGAAAATAAGTGACTGGGCAAACTTTTCCAAGAGACTACTGGACAAAGCAAGAGTAGCTCACAAAGAAGTCTGTTTACATAAAACGCTTCGAGGCACTACTGCTACTACAAACAGAGGTTCTCTCCTTGGTGATTTTCGACCAAACCAACACAACGATAGAATTATACCGACTGTCCGTTGGTTTTTTAAATTGAGATGCGAATAAATATAATTGAATTCCTAACTTTGGAGGGAGGCCGATCTCAATGAAACTTGCTTCATGTGCAACTCGGTTGCAAAAAATTTGGTTCATTTTTTGGCCGAGTGAAGAAAAAGAAAACATTTATTATTAAACATATTTAACAGTTTACAATATATTTACCATAATTTGAAAGCAAGGCAAACAGCCGTCTGCCGGATTTAGAACCCTATCCATTATATGATAATTTAATTTATTTTACAGTGATGATTTTAAAGATGATTTCAATTAAAATAAAAATACACATAAGTCAAAATAATAATCTAAACTAAAAATCGTATTTTTCCATCCAATAATATAAAGTTAATTTTAGAATAGAAAATAATATTAAAACAACAAGTAATATTCTAATTTTAAAACGAGCAATATAATTGGTATTAAACTCCCTTATTAAGTTGTACCTGCATTCCCACGCCTTTTTGGTAAAAGCAATTAAAGGTTAACCGAGCTGGGGGCTTCAAATTTCTAACAATTGGTGAGCCAGCGAGAGAGCTACTCCTTAGCTGGCAAAATTCGGCGAGCATAGGACATTCACAAAGGAAATGATAAAGATCCTCCTTGGCATTCAAATTGCAAATAGAACGTCTTTCCCTGAGAAGATCCTACCTTAACAGGGCAAATAATTGAGAAGTGGTAATTCCCCTCTCAGTTTGAACAACCATCTCAATTGACAAAGATTCAATCAAGAGTCACATCAGCCGAAAACACTGAATTCCATACCCGACTCCAAAAGAAAGTGACTGTATAGTCATCCTCAAAACCTCCTCCCGATGAACTAATCCTATCTTCTTAAGGATCTCGTCAACTCTACCTTATCTAAATCTAAAGAAATCTGTGTCCTCCACTGAAGCATATAGACTATGGAAAGATCAAACTCACAAGAATAATTGCAAGCAATGTATATCAGGAATCATACCAGAAAGCCCTACGCCTTACATTCTCCCTGATTTCAGTATTTACCAATCAATGACCTGGTGGTGATAACACCCTCAAACAAAATTTAAAATGCAGTGGTAATATATATACGAAAATTGGTACAACAGAAGATTCAATATTAACCATATAAGTAGGTGTGTTTGTACTTAAAGGATATATTTTTGTATGAAATACCTTTCCAAGATCTCATAGCGATTATAGCCCCAAATTTAAGATGCGTAACAAATTATGGATCGCAGCATAGTATTTCACACCTGATATTTTGATTGCAAAGGCACTTACCTTTATGAGAAAAACACTAACCAGATTCTCTTCAGACCCAGCTTACCTCTAGAAATCTTTGCGTTGAAGTGATGATTGAACGATAATCGTGTCAAAGTGACTTTCACATATTTGTGTTTTTTGGCAGTGTCCTATTCTGGTAGAGTTTCGTCTTTGCTATCTGGGCGCACGATCGCTCCCTAATAACAGTTTTATAGCATTTTGAACGATATACAGAATTGTAAAAATATTTATGGTATGATTTAGTAAGTGAATTTAACTGATAAAATAAAATTCAACTTAATTAGATTGTTCACTATGTTTATTGTCTCATTTTTAAGTGTTTTGTTTGAATTTATCTTGAAAATTTCTTTCTTTTTTATTAGGATAACGTTGGGTTTGACTACTCCTGTTTTTTTCCTTTTTTGTGTTTATCGTACACATTTTGTCCAATTTTTCTGCTTTCGTTGTTTGCTAGGTTTAATTTCTAGATTAATCCCATCTCTCTTTTTCATATCGAAAGCACTTTTTTCCATTTCGTATAAAATTTTTGCATTTTGTTTCAATGTAATGAAAATAGAAAATCAAGACCACTAAAAAGAAAAACTATGATCTTCTAAGAGTACCATTGAAGGTGGTGAAAAACCAAAACGCACCTGACAGACCAAGCACGACGAACCAAAATAATCGGTAACGACCAAATTTCAGGGTAATAACGCCCACATCCTACATGGAGAAATCACACAATTTAAACAGTTATACAATTGGAATAGATTTTTTTGTATCAGTGATTTATGTTTTGATATGACCAATAATATTTTAGTAATAATATTATGGCAAAAAATGGAATAAAATAACCATTTGAATTGTTCATGTTTATTAATAGTTTGGTTTACAATACATACAAAATATAAGTATATATTAAATAAAAGAAGGGCGTCGGTGGCCGCAACTGTTTAGGCGTTGACACGGCGCTCACCACACTAAGGTTACGGTCCAGGGTTCGAATCCAGCGGCCCTGCTTTCAAACCCGACATACTCACAAATGAGCTTTTTTTCAAAAGCACCGGCACCCCGAGGGTGGATATAACCTCTGCTGTTGCGAACCGTCGTAAAAAAAGAAAAAACATAAAATAAATGTCGATTATTTGCTAGTAGTAAATAACACAACAAAATTTTTTATTTGTAACTGAAGTTCCAATAAATGACAACGGTAAGTTGCAGATCAAGCTAATCTCACTTCCGTCTATTTGGGTTAAGTGCTGTACATCAGAGTAAAAGTTCATTTACCCCTGCACGGAAACAACATTTTCTTTAACTTTTAAAAATTAACGCTCTTCTTTTAACACCTTTGAATTTATATTAAAAATAAAAGGTTTACTTAATCCAGTACACTATGTTTACTTTGGTTTAAGACATTTTTCGTTTGATCATATTTTATTTAACCTGTTTGATAAGACGTTTTATAAAATATAAACATCTGAATGCCTAATAAAATAACTAATCTAAGTTTTTATGTTTTCAAATGAATTTTAATATAATTATCTCAGGAAATATTCATGAGCTTCGTCTGGTTTTGCTATTTTCTAAAAGCTTGCAATAAAGGTTCCATAGTAAATTACACAAAATGTTTCAAACAATACGAATTTAAAATAGAAGTTAAGTCTTAAGCGTTAAGATTTTGCAATAAAAAATATTACATGACGAAATTGTAAAAACTAATTGCGACAAGATAGGACTAGCAACATGCTAAATTGATTAGCGTATTCTTTAATTTTTTTCTAAAATATAAAAACTCAATAAGGACGAAAATAATGACGAATTATTTCAGTCAATCACCATGTTCGTTTTTTGCAGAATAATATTTCAAAAGGCGGTACTCCTGCGAATAGATTAAAAGATAATTGAATTATGTAAGTTATGAAAAATCACTTGAAATCACTATAAATTGGAGATTTTTCAAATTGAATCCATTTTGAGGCCGAAATGTGGGCCCCTTTAATTGTCGCATTAGCTGCAGGCTTCTGCTTGGGCGAGGCTTTTGTAAGGTACAATCAGTTCATAATTAGACATAAGGCAATACATTTTAATAATAATATCTTTACATACATTTTACAAAACCATGTTATTTTTAGCGTTCCTTTAGTGAAATTTCACAAGGGACCCAGGCCGATCAGTGAACTTATAATTTCCAATAAACAATACATGAATTTCATCAGGCAAAATGTTCTTTTGAACGACAGAACAACTACACCTTTGACCAACGTCAAAAATGTGAGCTGTTTTTCTTTTATATTGGAATTCGCAATAACTATTTTTTTTAACAGGTCGAATATTTTGGAGAAATATCTCTTGGAACTCCCGGGCAAAAATTTGCCGTAATTTTTGACACAGGCTCATCCAATTTCTGGGTTCCGTCCGTTCAATGCAGATTACCGGCATGCAGTAATTTTATTGTAATATAGTTTTACCTAGTCGATTGTAAATCACAATTTTGTGTTTAGTGGTACGTAGAAGGTTCGATGATCAAACATCGACAACATATAAAGCAAATGGGACCAGTATTCGAATCGCCTATGGATCAGGAATAATGCAAGGATTTCTTTCCACAGATACTTTGAGAGTAAGATTAGTTTTATTGATTTCATGCTTTAGTTTAGTTATAGATAAGGAGGAAGGAGTAATTATTTTTTATGTTACCAGATCGGTCCGACTTCTGTTGAAAACGTTACGTTCGGGGAAGCGACACGTTTTGTGGTTAATGGAGGTGGTTCTTTTGCTAGGTTTGATGGTCTTTTTGGCTTGGGCTTTCCTCGTCTCGCTAAGGATGGAGTCCGTCCTCCTTTTCAAGTGATGATGGACCAGGGGCTCGTTAAAGAAAAAATCTTCTCCTTTTATTTAAACGGGTAAGTAGCACAATTTTCGCCTTTTTTATTAAATTCTAACCTTTGTTCAAAATTCAGAGACAGAAACGACAGCAACGGTGGAGAAATGGTTCTCGGCGGTTGGAACGATGACTACTTCGATCCTGCAGATATCGAGTACATCCCTCTTAGTCAGAAAACTTACTGGCAGTTCACAGTCGACAAGTAAGTTTTATATCCGTCATTGACGACGGTTTTGACCCGTCCAACTTGAACCGAATATTATGCCAAACAATGTATTAATAATTGCCCAACTTATTCGTAGAATTACTGTTGGAGTGAGCGGTCCTCCTCGCCCGCAGTTACAAGTTGGACCAAAGAAATTTGAGGCCATAGCGGACACCGGCACCTCGCTTATTATCGGCCCGGCACACGAGGTTTCAAAGCTGCATGTAGCCATGGGAGTTACAGAGCGAAACAATTTGGGATATGTGCGTTTTCGGATAAGTTAAATTATATACGAAACAAAAATCTATATGACATATAATGATTTTTAGGTTGACTGCAACTCAACTGACCGTCTTCCTTCCGTCAGTTTCTACATCAATGGCAAACCTTATACATTACAACCTCGTCAATATGTCCATAGTGTAAATATCGAAATCGTTACTAATGTTCTAATGACCATTCAAAAAATATTAATTCAATTTGATTTGCAGTATACTTTTTACCGTACCAAAGTATGTATAACCGGATTTTCGGGCTTACCCGGCCTCTCCCAATCCTGGATCTTCGGGGACAATTTCCTACGACATTTTTACACCGTCTTCAACGTCGAACGGGAAGCTGTCGCATTTGCACCTCTCAAGAAGAACAGACGTCATCATTAAACTATATTCATTTGAAACAACTATTTTTATTTAAAGTAAAAGAAGTACTATTATGTACAGTAAATGTTTGAAATTTTTATGGTTACCAACTAGATTCTGTTTCATACTAACGGCTAAATTTAATAAATCTAATATCCATGTATCTCTACTTTAGAAATAATTTAGAATTCTATTTTGATAATTTAAAGAGGTACAAATTGATTTTGTATTTAGATACGAAATTGAACACGAATAAATGTGATGTTAAAGGATCCATCAACAGATTAAATATAAACAGCCCACTTATCTTACAATATTTTTTTCCTCCATACTCACAATACAATATTTGTAATGTCAGACGATTTAAACATTTAATTAATAAAATAAATGTAATATCTGAAGGATTTCACACTAATTGGAATTTTCGTGTCCGTACCTGATTGACTCCTGACAAAAGAAAATCATTATCTCTGATATGTGCCAGGATATGATTGAAGGCAATTAATTGGGTGACAAACTAACAAAAAACTGGACGAGGCGTCACACCCTTTGAACCAGTACCTCAAATTGGCACCCTCTAAACGATAAAACAGAACTGACCAAATGGATTGAGAAATAAAATGGAAGAAGCCCCCAAGGAATACTATCCTGCATTTTATTATTACCAAAGATTCATTACGAGCCCAATCATTAAAATTAGCAAGCAATTGACATAATTTCTGGTTTTTCCGACTTGATTATTATTTTTCATAGCTGCACCATTGATTAGTCATAGATTATATGAAGAACCAGGCTAGTTTAAACCTACAACATATCATGTACAATGTAATAAAGTAAGCATCTGTGTGGATTGAAGGCAAAGAGCGGGCCGACAAACTAGAAAAAGCAGGAGCTCTTTGGACAACAGCAAATTTGCACAAAAGTACAACAAAAATCTTTCTCTTTGTCAGCTAACACTAACATAAGAAAATAATATGGGTATTTACGATCTTTGTGTTAACCTTGTTAGGTCGTCTTAGGTCGATAAAAATGATGACGTAGACTTGTAAGAATCGGCTGGTTAACATTGCTCGATCTAACAGGCCAGGGCCAATGTTAGATGATATGTCGAAAGTGTAGTCACATGGCTATCCGTTAGGGCGTAGGTAACCAACATGGCAGCCATGAATCCAACAGCTGTTTTTTGCTTACACGTATTTTTATTCTTAAGTACGAATTAATTAAATTAGACGAATACATTTCTTTTGTTAATTTTTGATCTGCTCTGATACTCTCATTCCTAATAGATACATCCCACATTCTATAAAGTTGTAGGCTGTTAGAGTTAGGATACAAGTTAGGTATGTCGACACGAATTGAAGCGTGTCATTTGTTAGTACTTTTCGAGTGCATAGATAGCATTTTGAATCAAAGAGTTGATTAAGTTTCCTTTTTTATTCATTTCTGTCCTCTTACAATTTAACATAAAAGAAAACGAAAACAAACAGCAGCAAGCTTTTAAGCTTTATTTTTGGTTCTACCGATCGACACGCGCAGCATTGAGGAAAAATTAACGTTTAAAATGCTAAGAAAAAAACAGGAGTTCACGATCTTATTGGACATTTCTCTATTCGAGTTAACACTAGTTAGCATCTTACAAACATCGTGAAAACCTCTAATAGCCCATTATTTACAACTTTATAAAATGGGAAAAGAGAAAGAAACCGGCCGCCTATCGACAAATGAGCTATCGGAAAATGTCCTATGTGACTGCAAAGCATCAGCCCAGAAACGGTACGGCCACTTGGGAAAAGCCTTCCGCCTAGGGAAATTAGCCGGAAAGTGCTAAACTTCTTTAGGGACCTGGAAATAAAGAAGGGTCAATTCCAAATTAGATCTTTTAGGTTGTACACAAAAAAGGGATACTAATGTCAACAATGACCACAAAAAGATATATATTCTATAGGTAACACGAGTTGGGTGAATGTCTAGAGTAATTTGGTGTTTTTGATTGAAAAAATGTATGCAAATATAACAAAATTCAAATAAAACAATGGTTACTCCTTTATTTCTTTGGGGAAAGAAAAGGAATATTCATTACTGTTGGAGTGAGCGGTCCTAGCTCCCAGATTGAACCGAATAACATTGAGATCATTGCAGACACCGGCATATTATTTGGTCGGCACATGAGATTTCAAAGCTGCACGCAGCCTCGTTTTGGAATTTATGCGTTTTCGGATAATAAATTAATTAATATAATATTAAGAAACAAAAATTCATTTGAAAAATAATGATTTTTAGAATGACTGTAGAGGGCCGCGGTAGCCGAGCGGTTAAGGTTTCAGTCTGTCGGCTAGTAGATCCCGCGGTCGTAGGTTCGATCCCCACCGTTTCCTCTGGTCTTTTTCTGACGACCAATGGGACCGGTGGCCGCAATTGAAAGAAATTGACATGGCACTCATCAATGGAAGGGGGGGATCAGATCTCAGTGACCCTGAATTTGGTCCCAACTCACTTCAAACATGAGTTTCTTCGATGGAAGAACACCGGCACACCGGGGGCTCAAATTCGCACTCGTGTGCGAGCCCCCAAAAATGGAGCCAGAGATAAAGTACAATAAGCTGAACAGCTGCAGTGCTCAGGGGGAACTCTTCCAGTTCCTGGTATCCATTGTTAAAAAAATGACTGTAACTCCACTGACATTCTACCTTCTGTCATTTTCTACATCAATGGCAAACCTTACACCTCGGGACTTCATCCACATGATGTATGTATCGAAATCGTAACCAAGCATACAAATCATGTCATTATGTTTTATTACGAATGTATCTAAAAATGGTTACACTCGTAATAAAACAACTAGATGGCACATTAATCACAGATTGGTATCAACAACCAAGAAACACAGATCACTACCTCAACTTTACATCTCACCATCCTCTTCATACAACAAAAAAATAATAAACACGGCCAAAGGGTTACTTCATAGAATTTTACCCTAAGCCATGAATCATTTCACCACAAGAACATAAATATATACAAAGAAATCCTCCATAACAATCACTACCCTAAACACATAATCAACACAATAATCAACAACTACAACTCAGCACTAACACCATCTACTATTACTAATAATACTACATGAAATCTATCAAATACAAACAAACCAGCATACATTTCCATACCATTCATTCACGGCCTATAACATAAATTTCTCTCGTCCGATAACTTTAAAATAGCTTTAAAAAATTATAAAACAATTCAAACACTTTTTTCCAAAATTAAAGATCCCACACCAATAACAATGACTGACGTAATCTACACAAAACTTACATCTGTCTTACATCCCAATATCTCGATAAGAGCGTACAGCAACATATCTATCATTGCAAAAAACCCAAGCAAAATCCTACAGCACTTCCTACTCACCATTTTGAACACAAACACAATTTCGACTTCAATAATCCAAAAATATTACACACAGAACAAAACAAACATAAACGTAGCTTTTTAGAAATGGTTTTCATCAAGAGAGATAAACACAATTACTGAACAGACACATGTAAACTCAGTCTCAGCTACGCCAATATCATTAATCAAATTCAATATAGATAACATACATACATCATCACATCACATTCCACACATCAAACATTTTTCACATAGTCTAATTTTTCAACAATTTAGCTTTCCTTTTCTTATTTATCCGTTTCTATATAATCCTGAAAGGATAATCTGGCCGAACCTTACCAACGTTTTTTCCCTTCGTCGGCTCTTTTCACCTCAAAGAAGACGACTCCTTATACAAAAATGTCTTTTCTGTACCTACATCTTTCCCCACCCCTTCAAAATCCAACGTATATAAACATAAAACAGCAATATCTCACTGGCACTCTCAACACAACACGCAAGAATGGCAGAATTACACAAAAAATAAACACTTTGAGTGAGTAAAATTACTTTGATTGAATATAAAAAATATTTTTGCATTGTATTAATTCACCTTTTTCCACATCCTACATGTATTTGTTAAATTTAAACAATGTTTGTAAATCCCAGGCCCTGAAGATGATCTCAATAAAGATCGAAACGTTGGCACGATAAAGAAAATGTTTTTCTGAAACCTACATCACTCCAGACGGCATCTCACGATTTCGGAATAATCATCGACTAACGGTCACTAATCACTACACATTTAGTTCATAGTATCTTTTAGAACTAGAAGTTACAGTCTATTGATCATAACACGGATGTGAGGTTACAGGCTTACTAAGCCACCAACCCATTGATTATGAATAGTATTGAAAATATATTGTATAGAAGATCTCTTTTTTTCCCTATAAGCACTTTAAAATGTTCTGAATCTCAGAAAATTTACACTAAAACATTTTCTATGTCTGAAGGATTTCACACTGATTGAAATATTCGTGTCCGAATCCTGTGGAGCAAAACACGTGTTTCTATCTTGCATGTCACGCCTGGAGAATTCTGGCCGGATTGATTTGACATCGGAAACCGTACACAAACATAGCCAGGTTGCGCTTCAGAATACAAATTCGGAATTAACCCCAGATCTATTCCTGGGAACGTTTTGCGAAACAGCATATTTCATGCAATCAGCATAACAATCTTACCCTCACACAAAACATAAAAGTTAACTCCCCCAATCCGTTTATTTATTGCTTAAGCCCGCTTATCGAAAGTTCATCGTATTTATCAAATAATGTTATTATATTTCTACATGTAATGGGAAAGAAATTTATCTCTAGGAAGATTTTTAACCAAGGTCTATAGATAGGATCTCAAGACTGGTTTCAAAAATAAGTGGAATCGTGCGAGAAGCTACAACTTAAACTGGATTGATTTCTCCCACATCAAATGATACTAAAGCCAAACTCAGTTTTAACAAAATAAAAATTATTTCCGGAGTAGACAATTTGATCTTCAAACTTGTGAAGTTGGTATCTTAAGACTATATAACATAGGTCGAATTTTGCTGAGTGGTAAAACTGAACTTAGCGATCTATAATTATAGGATGGTAACATCAAAATTCTTTTTTAAATTTATTATATAGTTAATATGAACCACTAAGAACGTTAACGAAGTAAGACTAAAGTCTGATGAATGAAGAACGTGTAGAAGAGAAGCACCCTATTTTTACATTATATTTTGCTTATCAATCAGCATTATGATTATTCAGATATCGTGGGATGCGGTCTGGTGTGATGTAGGTTTCAGAAAAACATTTTCTCAAAGTCTTTGTTTTCTGAGTAATTGTGCTATTCTTGCTTGTCTTGTTTAGAGTGCCAGTGAGTTATTGCTATTTTATGTTTATATACTTTGGATTTTAAAGGGATGGGGAAGGAAGTCGGCGTAGAAAGACATTTTTGTATAAGGAGTCGGCTTCTTTGAGGTAAAAAGATCGACGATGGGAAAAAACGTTGATAATGGTTCGGCCAGATTATGCTTTCAGGATTATATAGACGGGGATAAATAGGAAAAGCAAAGCTAAATTGTTCAAAAATTAGACTATGTAAAAATGTTTGATGTGTGGAATGTGATGAATGTTTTGTATGTTATATTATATGTTTTGTGTGCTGTGATGATATATGTATGTTATCGATATTGAATTTGATTAATGATATTGGCGTAGCTGCGACTGAGTTTACATGTGTCTGTTCTGAAATTGATGCTGTGTTTATCTCTCTTGATGTAAACCATTTTCAAAAAGTTACGTTTATGTTTGTTTTGTTCTGTGTGTAATATTTTTGGATTATTGAAATCGAAATAGTGTTTGTTTTCAAAATGGTGGGTAGCCAGTGCAGGTTTTTTGCAATCATAGATATGTCGCTTTACTCTCTTATCCCGATATTGGGATGTAAGACCGATGTAAGTTTTATTACGTCAAATTTATTTTTTATTACAATTAATTAAGGTTTTTAGTAGAGATAAAAAAGTCAATGGCACGAGCGGGATTCGAACCCACGATCTTCGGCTTGATAACCGTTTAATTTAATGATTTAAAATGAAGTATACTTCACTAAAGCTTCCGTGGCCATTTCATTTGTCGTCGAGAATCCAATCCGATTACACGACATTTGAAAAATGGCAAAAAGGAGGGAAAATTCAAAAGGTGAGGTTGAGATGGGAAATTTGTGTCCGAGTGGATCGAGGTCACGATAGCTCAAGTGGTACAGCAGCGGCGTATCAAGCCGAAGATCGTGGGTTCCAATCCCGCTCGTGTCATTGACTTTTTTATCTCAACTAAAAACCTTAATTAATTGTAATATATTAATTGGTCAAGCGGACCACGAAATTAGTGAATTTATTTGTTGTCTACATCTCACCAGATCGCATATCACGATATCTGAATAAGCATCGACCAACGGTCACTAATCATCACACAAATCGGCATTATGTTGGCAGTTCCATTCACTTCGAACCTCACATTTTTTTTTTTTTTTAATGGCTAAGCTTTATTTAATAATATGAGAAATGATAAAATTAAATTTTAAAGGAGTCCTGAAATATAAATTTTATCCAGACTGATCTGATCTCATCGTGAGGGTTGGTACTTGCGAATATATATGCAAATCAAGTTATTAAATTTAGGCAAACAAACCTTCAAAATAAAATTTATTCTGGTAACAAGTAATGTTAAAAAAAATATATTAGATAGGATCTTAAGAATGGCTTCGAAAATAATGTATTCCTAGAATATGAATAGATCCCCAAAACAATATAAACATAAACAACTGATTTAAATAAGCTTATATTCTGAGTACAAATGTTTGGTGTTAAATCTGTGATTTTTCTTAAGAAAGATTTTAATGATTGTACTTCGTAAGTGGTTTAAGATAACAGTTTGTTGTTCTAAACCAGGTAATAATTCCACAAACCAAAATAGATAGTGATAAACTGATTTCAATTAATTGTTACGTATAAAATTATTCTAGCTTGAAATTTATGAAAAAGTTTGCAGATTCTACAAATAATTAAATCAATATGAAATGTAAAAGTTAAATCAAAATCACAAACCATTCCCAAATATTTCATTTGTTTATTAAATTGTCAGTAGAACAATCAATACAGCCTGAACAAATATGGACAGCAATTATACATTCTTCGAGATTAAGTTTCCTTTAAAAAAGAAAGGAATTACAAATGTTTTGTTCTTATTAAGTAAAAGATAATTTTGGGAAAACCAAGAGTCAACAGCTCCTAGGCCTTTTTGAATATCAGACAAGACATTTTTTAAATCTACATCAGAATAAAATAGAGTATTATTATTAGTATAACTAAAAATGTTCACCGGATAAATCAAGTTTTAACCAATTATTTACCTAAATAAGAAAGTGGATGGCCCTAAAATTGATACCTGTTGTATACCAATAAAAAAATTAGAAGTAACACTAACAGACAAAACAGCTCTAGTAATTTCATGGTTCAATCTCACACCAGAAATACCCATATCGCACATGTTTTTTAATAACAACTCATCAACTGAGTTGATCTGGCTTTTCTAACGTCGATAAAGTTACATAATTATTTCTATCAAGTTCATGTGTGATATGATTCGTCACATCACACAAAGTCAGCTCGTTGAATTACCAGACAAATTGACCTATTTGACTTTCTATTATATTATTTTTAATTAAAGCAACCTTTTCTTTATACGTTTTCTACCACGTTCGAAAAGCACAAAGTTAAAGAAATTGATCTATAATAAATTATTAATGTTCATTTTAGAAAATTGTTTGACTAATGGAATGCGTTGTAAAATTTAAACGTTAAAACCTCCCAAAGGAAAGAAAATATTAAAAATATGGGTCAAAGGAGTGCTCATAAAAGACGAAATGTATCTTATTATGAAATTTATAAGCATTTCATCATAGAAGAGATTATTAGTTTTAAAATCATGGATATTTTCAACGAGGAACTAATTTTGAACCATCATGTTTTTGGAAATTTTACTCTCTACAACATTTGTTCTGAGGTCTTTTTCAAAATAGTGACCAGGAAGACAATTCCCACTTTTTCTTGCTTTGACCTTTTGTGATGGGGAATGATTCTGCTGTCGATAACCGCTTTTTTACCTCATCGCGGAAATTTAACTTTTCCTTCCTATTTCACAGGTGTTGTGTGGCAGTTTGGCTTCGAATAACGTATTGATACCGTAGTTTTATGTACGGTAAAATCGGGATAGAGAGACTGGTTTTTTCAATGAACACGTAAAAAACCATGTTGATTGCCGAAAAATCGCGAATTACCGAAAACGGTTGAGCAATCAGGCAAAATGGAAGGCTACCAATTGAAAGCTTATTATAATTCCCTATTGGTTGCTAAAGGGCTTTGCACAATTGCACAGAAGACAAACACTTTGAGCCCTGAAGATGATCTCAATAAAAGATCGAAACGTTGGCACGATAAAGAAAATGTTTTTCTGAACCCTACATCACACCGGACCGCATCTCACGATATCTGAATAATTATGTTCGGTGTTTTTAGTGCAGTTTTTATACATTTATAATTTGTCAAATAGGAAGGATGGTTTTTTTTAGCCATTTTCATAAACAAGAAAAGTATAATAATAATACTGGCTGTCGGTGGCAGCAACGGTTTAGGCGTTGACACCATAAAGTAAAGGTCCCGGATTCGAATGTAGGCGCTGACATGTATATTTTTTCAAAAACACAAAAAAAAAAGTTTGTGTGCATATTTTGCATGCAAACGCGGTAAATATTGCTATTTCAAATAGTAATTTCTATTGAAATATATTGTAATTATGCAGTATGAAGCAATTTTTAGTTTCACGCGAATTGTAACTTCGTTTGATTTGTTTTATATTGCACATAGATATCAAAGCAAAAAATCCAACATTAACAAATTATTTTTTGTGATATTTTCCTAATTTATTGAAGTGTTGTTATCAAAACTCTAATTGTAGATTTATTTTTAATATAACGTCACTCTGTTTAGTTACAAGAAGGTTATCGGTAATTGAAACAATGATTATTTACTGATCGTGAGATGCGGTCTTGTGTGACGTAGGTTTTGAAAACTATATTCCTTATTGCGCCAACTTTTCGATCTTCATTGAGATCTCTAAATAATCGTTAGTCAGCGGTCACTAACTATTACACAATTGAAACAGTATTGCTCATAGTACTTCAAAGTAAAACACGTAATTTGTGTCATTTTAAACAAAACAATCAGAATTGGTATAAAAGTATAAATGTTGTGAATCGTCCCTTACACAAACATTTTCACGATGAGGAGAGTATTCATTTGTGCTTTAGTAATTTGCTTTTCTCAAAGCCACGCTTTTGTGAGGTAAATATAAACTTAATTGAACGCAGTGGTTCCAATTATAATTTGTAAATTTATTTAGCGTGCCGTTAGTGAAAATTAAAGAACATCTTCCTCTCGATCCGATCGAAACAAAAAGTACATATCGAAACTTTATGTCTTTGTATGCTGGGCCAGGGGGAACTCGAGTCAAATCACCTTTGGAAAACTATAGAAATGTAAGTTTGTGTTTTTTAAAAATCTATTTCGATTAAAAAGGTTTATCTGTAAACAGTCACAATATTTTGGAACAATATCCCTTGGAACTCCACGACAAAGCTTTCTTGTGATATTCGATACTGGGTCTTCAAACTTATGGGTGCCTTCTTCGAGCTGCACATCGTTTATTTGTAGTAAGAGATATTTGTTTTTGGTATATTTTCAATTGGGTTTAATTGATTTTGTCATCCCAGAAAAACACAAACGTTATGATGAAAATTCATCTTCAACATACATAAAAAATGGGAAATTATTCCGGATCAATTACATAAAAGGAAAAATGGTTGGAATTCTTTCTTCAGATACGTTAAGAGTAGGTATTCGTTTATGACAATATAGTTATATTTGTATTTACATTGTTGATGGTGGATAAATTTCTTTGTATTTGTTTAATATTTGAATCGATTTAAAGATAGGTCAACTTGCTGTAGAGAACGTAACTTTTGGAGAGGCGATACATTTCCCCGGAATGGGATTGGAAAGTCTAAGGGCCGACGGAGTTTTCGGCTTGGGTTTTCCAGAAAATGCAGTCGCCAACGTTCGACCTCCTTTTTATTTCATGATGGATCAAGGGCTCCTCAGTCAAAACCTCTTCTCCTTCTATTTAAACAGGTTATTCCGTATAATTACAGCCAAATTTCAGCAAACTCTAATGCTTGTTCAAAACTCAGAGATCAAGACGACCAGAACGGCGGAGAAATTGTGTTGGGAGGTTGGAACGCCGACTTGTTTGATCCAAAAGATATCGACTATATCCCTCTTAATGATAAAAAAACATGGCAATTTTCCATAGAAAGGTACAATTAACCAACACATATCACGATATACAAATTTACATGGTTGTTTTAAAGGATTTCCGTCGGAAAAGGCTATAATCAAACCGATATAGCCAAAAAATTATTTAAAAGGAGCTATGATGGTCTTGCTGACACTGGAACGTCAACTATAATTGGACCGTCTATGTATGTACGAAAGATACACAATGCGATTGGAGTAACTGAGTCTGGATTTTATGAAACCGTAATTATTAACCGTAAAGTGTGCTTTTTGTGTTCAATATTTAATATATTTGGTTTAGGTGGATTGCAGCATTGTAGACAGTCTACCAGACGTTACTTTCCATATCAAAGGTAAACCGTACATTCTGGGTCCGAGGGATTACATCAAATTTAGGGTATGGTGTTTTTAAATCAAATATCCTTTTAAAACACTAAAACCAGATGTTTTATGTTTATTTTCTAATTATGTTGTGTTTTTAGGAAGATGATGTGTGCATCACAAATTTCAGGTCAATCCCCTACTCTAATCATCCATGGATTCTCGGTGATGCTTTTCTTGGAAAGTTCTACACGATCTTTAACGTCGAGGAGAGATCAGTAGCATTTGCTCCACTCAAGAAAAACAAGAAGAATTAGTGCTATTATTATTACGTTTTTAATAACTCTGATTATTGTAATATAATCTAATCCCTAGAGCAAAAACGTTATGGGATATATTAAATTATAATATTTATAATATGTATTTTTGATGTTGATTTTTAAAAGGTTTTAACAATTTAGAAACATAAACACTGCAATTTTAAACAACAATGTATCATAGTATTATACAAACAAATATATTGTTTATAGATTATTTAATCACAGTATATTTTCGAGGTTCTATGTGTTCGTTAACGTAACATTATTCAAATTATTATTTTAGGTTCAATCTGAGAGCATAATATAATTTATGAGTTAATAACCATTACCTGTTATGTATTAACACAAAAAAAATGATGAACTGGTTTTCCGGAAAATAATGCAGGTTTAAGGTTATAAAATACAAACAATTAAGTAAATTATTTTAAGCATTTTTTATTAAGTAAAATACCCTTTATTACTCTCATTGCACGTTTTCTCCATTATAGAATTTTGAGCCTTTTTTTACTAACAAATTCTGAAAACGCATTTTTTAAAGAATTTTTGAACAATAAATTTTTTATGTTGTAAAACGTTGTCTAGGTGTCTGAAACACTATTAGTCGGTAAGGGAGAGGTTTGGATAGTAGTGAGAGTGAGGTAAAACTTCATAAAATCATAACCAAATTCCAACAATTTTCGTTTTGTCACATGTTAGACAAGGGGCCGAACAATGTCGTGTAACAGATTCGGCCTTTTCAGATTGACCAGAAATAATTTCAATAATGCCAAGTTGTGGTGCATTACTTCAATTTGGGAGCAGTACATTTCGTGACTGATTGTTTTGCCAGGATTGAAAAAATGTAGTGAATCAACCCGCATGAAACCTACCCAAGAGTCATCATGATCTTTTTTGACGAATTACGAGCTTTGAAAAATGTGGCGTTGCTTCACCTGTCCAGCCACTGTTCAAAACGTCTGCTGTTATCTTAAATAATCCACTTTTCTATATAAATAGCAATTCTATTTATAAAAGTTTCGTTTCAGTTTCGGCATAGAATTGCTGCGCAAACTTCATAACGATGATTTTTTGGCGATCGTATAATGCACGAGCTTTCGAAATTTTTCACCTTTCCAGATATGGTCTTCAGTGACGGTAGATTTGCTAACTGAAAAATTCTCAGCATGTCGTCAAGCAGTTGTTTTGGGTTTTTCTTCGATCAAAGCTCGCGGAACGCCATCATCAATGGAAGAAATCCTTCCACGATCTTTTTTGTTTTCAAGACTAAAGTCTCCTTCTGGAAATTTATAAAACAATCTCTGAACGGTCCTCTCACTCACAACGCCATCGCCCCCAGACTTCCGTAATGTTTCTGGCCGTTCTGAACGAATTTAAACTTCTAAAACGAAATTACGCAAAAATAACGCATGAGATCTTAACAAAGACCCAAGTAACGAAAAGAGTGTGAGGTAGTGAATTAAACAAACAGTTTTGGTTCGAAGAGGTTTAAAAGTGTTAACATTCGTAGAAAAGAAGAATCCATCAAACGTAAACAGCTTATTATATAAAGGGATAATTGAAAGAAAACTTGAAAACCTGCATTATTTTCCGGACAACCCAATACAATCGTACATAACTCGTGAATTTAATTAATTTAAACTTCTCCTTTTGATCAATCATTACACACAAAATATTGTTAGTTTAAACTGGGTTTTATTACTACCAACGACTCATCAAACGTCCATACAAAAATAGTAACTAATTGGTAATTTGGTTACTATTTTGCATGGTTAGACCATTTATGAGTGTTAGGTTATATTAGGACCCAGGACGGTTTATACCGAGATCATATATGTACAAGAGTAAAGTAAATATTTTGTAGGTGGGGGATTGAAGGCAAAAAACAGGTTGATCAACTAGCAATAGCTGTAGCAGCCCTCGTTTGAACCAGTAGCAGGGGGAAAGAAGTTGCACTTGCGGATTAGAGTGGGATTGGAGCTTGTGTAACTGGAATTTACAATTTCATTTAAAAAGTGAACATATACGTCGTTATGTATGGTGTGGATAGTAACATGGAACAGGTCTTAACGATGAATCTAAGTATTCATGATGTAAGATCTGGATTCTGTGGAGATTGGAAAGTTTGTTTGAACCCCATAGTTCCATGCCATATGCCCATATTGATTTGTATTGAGTTGTATAAGTGTATTGTCAAGGGACAGTTTAGATCTTTTGGGTGGTTGTCTTTAAGCAATCGGTATCGTGATTCAGTTCTACCCGTATGAGTCATGGATTCCAGGTGAGTCGCATGTCTAGATAAACCCTAGGTAGCGGATGACGTTTTCTGCCAGAAGGGGGTGATGTTATGATATATAATAAATGCGAACGTTGAAGATCTTTCTTGCCCATCCACCATGCCACGGTATCTTAGACCCCAAACCGGCATACCCCGCCAATTAATTAAAAGTTTGGTTCTCTAAAAGGGGCTGTTATTTAGGGTTGGTGCAAAAATAATGCAGGTTTTTTATATTTTGCAAAAACAAACTACAATTTAATTTCAACAAAATAGATTTTTTGGAAATAACTTCCATTACTATCTATACATTTTTGCACATTTTTCTGTCTCTGGAATCTACGAACTTCCGAAATGCCTGTTCAATGTCATTTTGGATCTTGAACCGTTTCTCGCATATAAAGTTGTTGAGATGTTTAAAAAAGTGATAATCTGTCGGAGTATGGTGAGTATGGAGGATCAGGTAATGCCTAGTAATCCAACTCATGAAGTCGTGCCAGAGTCCGTTGTGCGACGTGTGGCCGTGCATTATCGTGAAGGAAGGTAAACGTTCCAATTGATTAATCCTGTGCATAAATGTCGCAATTTTCGGTACATCTCATTAATTTCATTACAGTACTTTTCAGCAGTGATTGTTTCAACCAGATTGAGAAAGTTGTAATGGAAGACTCCTACAGATGACCAACATCCGGTGACCATAATATTTTTGGATGTAAGCTTTGCATTGGGAGGTGCCATGGCTTTTCACTCTCCTTCAGGCACTGTCTAGAACGCTGTCTTTTGTCGTATAATATCCATTTTTCGTCATACGTTACTATACGACTGAGAAATGGATCATTTTTGTTGCGTACGGAAAGCATTGAACTGATTTCATGATTCTTTTCAGTTCAGCTCTTGCGGAACCCACTTGGCGATCTTCTTTGTTTTCCCAATAGTTTCCAGATGGCGAACGACTGTGATTGGTCAACACCAAGTTTTCCTCCATTTCTCGAGTAGTGTTTGTGGGGTAAGCCATAGCTTTTAACTGTCGTTGTCAACAACAGAATGACGCCCTCCACCTTTTTTTTGCTCGTGAGGTCATAATCTCCATTACGGAATTTTTGAAACCAACGCTGCACTATGGATTCATTTATAGATCCTAGCCCCAAACGTCATTAATGTTTCGGTTTGCGCTGCTCTTCGTCCACGTTTAAATTCATACAAACAAATTAACCGAAAATCGCTCTTAGACATCATTTTGATGGAAAGCACTGAACAGTCTGAATTAATCTTGTTTTAATCTAAAAGGGTTGTAAGAGAAAGAAATCGAGATAAATAGGCTTTAAAATGATGTTTATCTCTTAGCACAATGGATTAGTTTTGTTTACACAATTAGTATTAAAAGTGAAGCGAAAAGGAAAACCTGCATTTATTTTGCATCAACGCAATACAATACTTAGGGGCCTTCCTGAATCCCTATCTATCTAAAGGTCTGGCTTAATTTTTGGTTATTTTTAGAATTTTTCGCAAAATTTACAAAAAAATTATTATAAAAAAAAATCTACGCAAATTTTACAAAAAATTAGTATCAACAAGTTACGTTTTAAAATTTCCTGCAACAGTGGCAAAAATCCTCAAAACACAGTTTGGTCATGGATTCTAAGATAAGGAAGGAAATGATATAAAATAATGATAAAGTAATATAATAATCTCCTTGTTATTTTTGGAATTTTTGTTCATCACATTACGATTTTATGTTTGTTCTATTTTTTCATTGATAGCATTTCGTGAGTTTATTTGGGTTGAGTGGGCGTGAACTTGAATTTCGGGTTTTTCCATGGATTCGAGGAGGTATGAAACCTTGTTAAAAATAGCGATTACTTTATATGAAAAATTTGGCTGATAATGAAGATTTAATTTTTTAAAATTTGTTTGATTAAATGTATGTTTTGTACTAAACGGGGTCACCGATTTAGGAGTTGTAGGTTTTTTGGGTATAATTTGTGCCCTTTGCCAATTTTTTGTAAGTGGTAAACCATATAACTAAGAAAATTAAGAAGGGCGTGGCCTTAGTTGGTCACTTGGAGCTGCATTTAATGCGGCGGTAAAGAATAAATTATTTTCCCAAATTTTTGCTCGTAGCTGTAGAATACCCTTATACATTCTTTTGTACTGCAGATATTTCTCTCATCTATGGAAAATGTGATATGTTATGGATAGTGACGCAAAGGTCAAAAATAAAATTTATATGTTTATGATCTAAAACAAAACTGAATATCCGAAATATGTAATGGCAAACCATGTTGTGCGAATATGCTATATTTAATATTCAAATAACTATATCCGTGGTTGCCTTTCGACATGGAATGGCATACAAAAATTTGTTAAAGGCGTCTAAAGCTACGAAAATAAATTTGTTGCCTTTAATAAAAGTCGACAACGGTCCCACGAAATCTATATAAATTCTTTGCTGTGAAGGATATTTGGATAGGGGTGATTATAGGGTGAAATTTGTGCACAAATCTCACATTGGGCCACCCTACATTTTATATCCTCATTCATTCCTGGGTTGAACAAGGTTCGAACACTGTATAAAATTTTAGAAAATCCTTGATTTTCTCAGAAAATATTGTAACAGAAATATTGGAAAATCGGTGACTTTAAGGTTTCAGGTGCACATTTTTTTAAATATTTGAATTATCAGGGACGTAATGAATTAAATTTTTAATCTTTTTTAACTTTGCATCGTTTTGTGTCAATTTGCGTTTTATATTTTTATCTTCTATCTGAAGTTGATCAAAGTTATCAAAAAGTGAGGATAAGTTGTTTCATGGTGAAGTGAAAAGTTAACGTCCATGTTCATAACGATTAACGGCATTAATTATTAACGGCCATAACGGCATTAATTATTTCTGTATCCGAAACGACAATAGGAGAAAACCGAGTTATATAATCCGCATTACTATC